ACTCACCGACACACCGCGGTGGCCGTCTCCGCATCTCCGGCGCCGAGCCTGTGCAGCTCACAGTCGCCGGGGGACGAAGATTCGCCGTTAGAAAACCGGACCCCTTTTCTGAAAAAAAGTAAAGTTGGGACTGCACGTTGTCGGCCCAAAGGGGAGGCGCGTCCAGGATAGTCAGTGGGTGGTCGTCCTTTGCACTAGCAGCATCGCGACCTGTCTCAAAGATATCCGAGACGAAGACCCCATGCGCGAGGAGATGACAAAACATTGATGGCCGCAATCATGCAAGCCTCTCGGGTTCAGGGTGCTTCTCCGCCGGTGCCCGAGGCTGATTCGATGGGGGGCCACGCGGCAATCCCCATTCAGGCATGGAACACAATGGAATGTTTATAGTGCATCTCATTATATAGATCATTGCCTCCCTCACTCCCAGCTGTGTTATCGAGGTGGGACTAAAGAAGTGTGCCTGGCTGCAGCTTGCTAGCTGGCTCTCTTGCTGCTGCGCTGCTGGTTGGGCTGGCGCTATGCAGTGGGCCACTGCTCGTTGGGCTGCATGCCTGCAGTGGGCTCTCGTGCTGCTGCTACTGCTCTCGGCCTGGGTTGCTAGTTTGGCTGCTCGTTGGAAGTATTGGTTTCCTCTTTTCTCGTTTCACAAAAAAAAAGCTTTCGCTTTTGCCACTAATTTATTTCGAGCAAAAAATCTTGAATATACAAAGGAATATTTCTCCCTCCGTCTAATCACATGTGCAATACTAAAAAATCCCTATAGCAAGGCGGGGCATTATCTAATTTTTATCGAGTATCCTATATTTGTTATGCACTTGGTCCTACGGATCAGTATTCCGTATTGATTTTTCGTATACCGACCGTGTTCGACATAATTCCGCTCGATTTGGTTCGTTTTCGATATTTCGTAAGTTCGCGTTCGTTTCGTGTCCGGCTTGACCGCTTTCTCGTTTTATTCAAATGTAAAAGTAGAAAACGGTTAAGGAGTTTTTCGACCGATCGTTTTCATCCTTAATCCCCATGATGCACCAGCAACCCGCCAAGCGCCAAGGCAGGCGTGCACCTGGAACCCACGGGGAGGATGAAACGTGCACCTGAAACGGTGGAACCCAAAAATGAAGGGATCCTACATGGCTGCATGCTGTTGTTCTGATTTCGACCTGAAGTCCGCTAACCGCGCAGTCACCATCCAGCAAGTACATTTGAATGGCATTTTTTGCAAAAATTGAAAGGGACAAGAGTAAAGTTGCAAATTAAAAATGCTATCAGAACATACATTTGAATGACATTTGCAATATGAGAATTAAAAATCCACTGTTGACTCTGGAGTGCGTACTGTTGTGGACTTGTGGTAGCCTGAATGAATTGATCGAGTTGGTTGTGTGCCCTAAAAAAAAAGGCGGAATTAGCCACCTGCCAACCCCATATTTGCCTTGCACCTGACCTGACCCACATGAGCATATTTGGTCCGTCTCCTAGCGTTGTGGTTTTTTCTTGTCACGCTTCACGGACGGAAACAGCCAAACGTGATTTGGTGCGCACGACGGCAGCCGCGCGCAACGGCTCATCAACGTGCTCTAGTTTCCGGCCCGGTCGGTCAAAAAGCAATCCGCAGAGGGAGGCAGCAGCTGGCCTGATCCAGTGATCCCTGCTGCATGCAGGCTCACGAATCAGTCGTGACGTCGTGCCCGGTTGGCTGTGCTTTGTGCACGTACCCAACGCTGGATAAGGGAGAAAAGAAACAGCAGCTGAACCTCTCCTTGCCAACATTGTGATTTCTGTAGAGTTTTCAACTTTCACCGTGTTGTTTTACATACTTTACGTGGACAGAGACCAATGAATGAACAAATAACCTAACATTTTTGCAGTGATGCTTCCTTCTCATCTTGCTACTAAGATAATCGAATCAATGTGCTTATAAATTAAAATACTACGAATACAAAGCCAACTATTAATATAGGATGTGTTTGGTTGGGTGGCTAGCTCCTAGCCGGACTCCCTGGAGGCAATTTTGGCCTATTTGGTTGCCTGGAAATGGATTGGGGCCTAGCTAGGACTGGTCATCCGTACCCCTTTAGCCTGGCCAAGATCGAGCAACCCCTTTAGCCTGGACAAGATCGAGCAACAAATCGGTTGTTCTTCCGGAGCCAGGCCCGAGCCAGCCCTGAGCTCGTTCCCCTCACCTCCTCGACGCCCCTCACCTCCCGGTTGGAGGTCCCGTGCGGCGACAGGGTCCTGACCAGGCGAACCTGGAGGCGACGCTTCACCTCCTCCGTCTGGAGCCGTCCCTCTCAGTCCCCCGCACCCTCTCCCTGCCCCTGCTCCCTGAGCGCTTGTGAGCCGCGGCCACCACCGCCGTACGGACGCGACGCCATGAGTCCCACGTTGAGGAACTTGAGCTCTGTCTAGCGAGGAGCGCTTGTGAGCTTGGATGCGCCGGCGAGCTCCTCTAGACCACCCTGCGGGCGGTCGGCGAGGGCCCGCACGCGCAGCCCGCGAGGAATTGGGCATGCGTCCGTCTCCACTGACGAGGCTGGCAGGACTTCGCGCAGGGGGTTCTGCTGCTCGCTGCCCAGTACGTATAACACAAGTACAAAAGGATGTTGTTTTTAAAAATTAGCCATGTACATGTCCAGAAAGTAGGGGGTGTGTTAAAAAAAAAATTTATCGCGTGGGGGTTCCGCTGCCTTCCCATCCGGGCGTGCTCGCTTCCTCGGCTCGGAGACGCTGACTCTGGCGGCTCTCCCTGGGTCTCAGCTCGGAGAGGCTGTCTCTAGCAGCTCTCCCTAGCCACGGTGCGGTCTTGCTCGCCAGCCGGAGGGTCGGGGCAGGTCATAGCAAGGTCCTTGCCGTTGAGATCGAGGTGAGTTCGAGGTTAGTTGCTCTTGCGCTCGGGGTTGCATCACCGCTGCCGTTGGATTTTAGGGTTTTCTTTTTCTCATAGTGTGGATAGGCGAGTGTATGTGGTTTTGTTCTCTCCCCTCTATCCAAGCATCTTCCATAGCATGCGAAGAGCCGTCATGGTTAGGTCAGTTGCTGTCAGTGGTAGACTTAGGATTTTTGCTGAGGGTATGTCACTATAATTTTTTCATACAATTTGGTATAATCCATATTATAATTTAGTTAACATTCTAATAATATTTGCGGCATCTAATATATTTTTAAGCGGAACTTCAAATGAATTTGCTAGTGTATGCCAAATAAATATCCAATCATCCAGCGGAAGTAACGTTGTTGGGTTGCCTTCACCAGGGTGAAGGGGTAGCTAGGGTGCTAGTCTCAGAACAGGAAGAGAGAGCCTTTTTCCTTGTCTTTGGGTTCTATTTATAGGGGACGTGGGAGATGCATATTTCGCCTCATCCCTTATAGGTCATAAATTTACATAAAAGTCCTCAGATCTACTATAGGCACCATACCTTTTTATATGGAGGGGGTAGGCACAGCCACCCCTACCCCCAACAAACGTCGAGGAACTATTATATGTGATGAGCAGAGCCTCTGAGCCTCAAACTCTAGTCTCCATGTTTCACCGGTGATCAATATTCTAATAGAAATAGTTTTAGCACTCCATGCGTTAGCTTGCAGATCCAATTTTTAAGTCTCACATCCATGTGGTAGCTTGCAGGTAACTAACTAAAAAGGACCAAATATATATTTTCATTGTAACAAAAGCGATCAACAAGGAGCACATGAAGAAACGGATCACCGGATAGGTGGGTTGGGATAAATTCTCCAACCTTTCAGTGTAGCAAAAGGAAGAAATAAGCAATAGAGGATTGTGCCAAAGTGCAAACCTCTTGCCGCTTGCCAGTTTTCGGCCTCCATGGCGCTTGGCTCCAGCGACCATCGGGCATCGCGCAACCGTGCTTGACGTCTGGCCTCTCCTCTCAGTCTTGCGAGATCGGTGTCTTAGGCGTCAAGCCGCCGCCACTCGCCCATGACTCGGCCTGCTGCGCCCTATAGCGATACGGCGAGTCGAGTACTCAAACCGGTGACTGCTTTGACTGGGATTGCCGTGGGAATCTATGATTAGCGAGCATGGTGTAGATCAAGGCCTCGACTTGCCCTATTGGTCTGCCCTTGTGGCCTGCTATCAACTGTGTGTATATGTGTCCAGGTGAAACATTCTCGGCGGCAGGCCACTCGCGGGATTGGATAGGTAAGTTTTTTTTTCGTAAACATGCATATACTTACAGCCGGATCCCAGGTATGTCGTGGACCTACCGGCATACCTTGTAGGTCCGCCACTAGTCTAGTTAACAACGCAACAAACGGTGCATCTTTTGGACTTACGAGCTAGGAGTTATGACCATTTTAGTGGAAGCTACACATGCAGTTTTATTGCTGCGGGAGAAACCGAGAACTCTTTAATTTCTCCACCAAGATGATCTTCCACTTGTATTTTTTGTGCTTATGTTCACACCTAACTAGAAGGATGTTCCTAGTATAAATAAACCATGTAATCTATTATTTGCAGGAGAGTTGATATTAGTACAATGTGAGAATTGATACATCTATTATTTGAAGGAGAGTTGATATTGGTACGATGTGAGAATTGAGTTGATCTCGTTGAGTGACCTCTGAGTAATTCTAGTTTTATCCTACCCACCACCACGTGCCATTCCACGAGTTAATCCTTATCACTGTTGCTGGTAGTGTGATACTAAACCTAGCTATGAAATAGGCATATAACCCGACGTTTTTTTAACCTTTAACACAATGATGTGAAATTCGTTGTATGTTTGAGGAAAAAAAGTATGCTCCCACGTAAATGCTCCCACGTAATTTTTACATGCTAAAGGATTTGGAGACATTTTTAATCTAATATATAATACAATAACATACAAAATTATATTTCAGCGTTACATCGGATACAGTTGAGTGCCTACTATTATATACACATATGCGAGCTATATATCCGCAAAAAAGTTACTTTCCCCGCCCTAGACTGCAGACACGAGCGTGCGATGTCGACACAACAGATCCTCACAAAGTTTTCAATCAATGTCAGCATGCACGTAATCTACGAATACAAAATTCTTCTGGAGCTCATGGAATGCATATGCTACAGCGGCACTAATCAAAGCAGCTGCACCGATCAATAGTCTGAGCTGAACATCTGCAGGAATCCCAGCGGTAGCACAGCCCACTACTGTCGCTCCCATGAATACCTTCTGCAGAGTCTGGAATGCATGATATGCTCCTTTGCAAGACGAGCATTTCAATGTGTGTTGCTCGTATCTGTCTAGCATCTGCATAACACAAAGTCAATCATAAGAATATAAGAGTTACTGGAACGCAGAAACACAGCTGACGAAAGTTTCTACTTCAAGTAGATGATACTGTTTCCAGATTCAGTCAGTAGAAGGTGAACTTTTGCTGTCAGTTAAGCAACTATTCTCAAATGGTAAGAGTGGTTCAACGCTACTATCTTTCCAAATGTTTCACTGAATTTGGACCTTTGTGATACTAAGCACTTAAGCAGGTTGCTGTAAATAAATTAGTTCATATGACAACCGATAATGTACAATATAAATTTGTGTGTTATAGAAACAAAGTGTGCCATACATTCTACACAGAAAGGGGAAAAACGAGTAAAAAAGATGACTGCAATCAGTTATCAATGCATAGAGCATTAAGGATGTAGGCAAAACAGATCCTTGACCACCAAAAAATTATTGCGATATTCAAACATTTTAAGTCTGAAGCAAAAATTATACTGAGATTCTTTGGTGACCCAGATAGCTTTTACCTCACGCTTTGAAAGGACGGTGGAAGGCAATGCTTCCTGGCTAGGATTTCCAAACCACTCAGGCTGGCTATTGCCAAATTTCCTTAGCCATGCCCGGAATGCTAAAACAAATCGATCAGCCTGTGTGGGTGTGAATGTGATCTTTGTGTACTGCTGATTAACATCTGTAGAAGACTCCTTGGTTGCAGCTAGGAAAATCTTTTCCTGGCCTTGAAGAACAATCATATCACCATCATAGACCAAATTTGAAGTCCAATGTTCATACCATCGAGGGACAAGCTACACCACAAAGAGAGAAAGAAGGTATCAGCATTTGACTGTACACATATAAATTCAAATATGATCAAGTAATAAACTCCGCCAATAATATATGCATACAGTAGGGACTAGGGACCTTCGCCTTGTTTCCCCACAAAAATATGAGAACAAGTTCATTTTAGCAGTTACAAGATTATATTGACAAAACAAATAGGAAAACAAAGGTTAAGTAAAGGAATCACTAAACAAGCATGTACCTGCCACCATGCTTTTCCTGGCATTGTAAACTGGAAAAAGTTTCGAGCGCTACAGACAATAGAACGAGTCTTCCCTGGGGCCATTGGAATGTTGAAAGAGCAAATCCATATGACCCATTTCTGGTCTCCAAAAATGGGTAACTTTGTGTCTATCTCTATTCTGTACAAACCAGTTAACAAAAGTTCAGAGCCGTATAACGACTAAATTGCTGAAGCGATAAATAAGAACCACTCCACCACACTGAAAGACAAGTAATACAATAAAACAAGAGGAAAGATGACCAGGTACTTTTGTGAAACTTACTTGTTTAATGCATAGCAAGGGGCCTCAAAAGTTGCAGTAATGCGAGGATTACCAGAATTTGCCCCTGAGTAACCCCAGGCACCACTTGACTCCATCTTGAATGTCAAAGGTTTGGCTCTATCTCTTCGTCCAGTAACCTGCGAGAGGAGTAAAGCTCTGAAACATGAGCGGATTTGCTGAAACCATGTATCTCAAGAGAACAAAGCATTTTGTTTGTCTATGCCACTGGCACAAGTTCAAGCCACATTGATAGCACAATTAAGTCAGCCAGTTATTTATTGTCCATTCAGAATAAGCAAGTAGCATACGAGAATAAAACTATGATGCAATAAAATATATTGGGTAAATCCACAGTTAAGGTGTAACAGTTAGTTAAATTTGCACACTGGCAATCAGAAAGATACGAGGCCGGACTCAGACCATTCTGCTCTTTTTATCATTATAAGTCATTTCTGAGGAATTTCAATGTATATATACTTATAAACAGCATTGAGGCGGTGATTTTTGGGCAAACTAACCAAAATTGATTACAACAAAACATCTTTCCTCGAATCACAAACTTTCAACTGCAAAATACTATCATGGTGTTCCAGTGTGGCAAGCAACTAAGCTTTCTCCCTTTACTAAGTAGTTACCTTGTGGTGAGCAAATTCTATATGGGACGGATCAGAGACGTTCTCCATCAACGTATCATAACCATAGAACAAGTCCCTCTGGATTGTCACCGTGGAGAAGGCCGGGTCGTCAAACTCTTTCGGCAACCTGAAACCAAACAAGATCGAATTCAGTCACCTGAATGCACAACCGAATTCAACCAATTAGCCGCAGTCCAAACCCTAACTCTACGCACATTGGAGGCTTGGTGGCAGCCGCTTTCTCCCACCCATTCTCATCGGGCCACACGAACAGCAACCCCTGGGAGACGAGGGTGGGGAACTTGATCGCGCACGCCTTCGGCGAACGCACCGCCCGGGCCTCAAGACCCTCGGGCATGGCCTGGGGGATCCTGGTGCAGGCGCCGGAGCCGTCGAATGACCAGCCGTGATACGAGCACTGCAAGCACCCCGTCTCATCGATCCTGCCCTCCTGCACAGGCTCAGACCAAAATTAGCCGAAACGAGGAAGAGATCCGGTAGGTAGGACACGTTGAGGGGCGAGGAAGGGATGCGGGCCACCGTACCGAGAGCGGGGCAAGGCGGTGGGGGCAGCGGTCGTCGAGCGCGACCCACTCGCCGGACTTGGGTTCCTTCCAGATGACGAGGTCGCGGTTGAGGAGCTGGAACGGAGTGGGGCGGCTGGGGTCGAGGTCCTCGACGAGGGAGACCGGGTACCAGTGGTCCCTCCACGAGAACTTCTCGCCGGACTCGGGCGCCGACGTGCTCGGCTCCGCCTGCTCCGACTGCTCCGCCGCCTCCCCTGGGACGGACGTCGGTGCAGCCACGCGTAGGCGGTTCCGAGGACGACGGCCCACGCGGAGGCGGCCTCCAGCCGCCGGCGCGGCGAGCGAGGGGAGCCGCGGCGCCACCAGGAGCGAGAGGGCTGGGGTCGTCGCGCGCATTTTGTCGCCGCACGTGTCGAAGTGAAGCGCAGAGGTTTTGGCTTTCGCGCTGGAGTCTGGAGATCTTCGCCGCGCCGACCGCCGATTATATGCTTCGTTCGCGGCCGCAGTCGGTGGTTGGAATTGGAAGCAGTGCAGAGCTTCTAGACTGGGCAAGAACAGAGTTCTGGCACGGCAACGGGGAGAAACCTGTTTTTGGCGGAAAAAACCAGTGGGCAGACCAAGAAAATTCCGGGATTTTCCCACGCTGGGGAGTGAACGCGAGGGACAAACTACTGATGATACGGCTAGAGGGAGTACTGTAGTACTGTACAGTGTACACACGGGGAGCGCAGTGTGGTTGCGTGACGGCACTCGACAGGGAAGGGAGGAAAGGCAGGGACGGAGAACAAGTGTGCGCGAGCACGCATGGCGCTTTGCGGCGTTTGTGTGGAGGAGCTTGCATTGGGCCAGGCAGCCGGCCCCCGACCGGGACGAATGCGCCCCGCCGCGGGAAGACCTGACCGGCGGTGAGAACGACACGAACCCACCCGTGGGCCGTGGCGGAATGCACCCGCACATTGTTTGCACTTCGCACTTTGCAGGGTTGCTACAAAACTGAAGAAATCAAATTCGAATTTGTTGAGCAATTCTACCTATTATTTCAGTATTTGTCCAGCAAAACAAAAGTATCCAGATTAAATTACCACATTAATCATAGAATAAATTCAATTACTCATCACTGCTACGTATAATACAAAAAAAAGACCAAGGAATACACTTGTATCTATTTTCTATCACAAACCCATGCCCCAAGCAAAACGTAGTTTCTTTAAATTGGCGAACCGATTGAATTTTAGTCCATATAAAAAAAGTAGAATCAAAGTTGCAATCCAAATATCTTTTGGACTTGCGGCTCAACTGCTGGCAGTGTGCTGAGCAAGGCCGTCCCATAAAATATACTAGAAAGTACGCACGGCTTTGCCGCGCAACTGCCAGTGTTGGGTCCCAGTTGTGCATCCCGTTTGGAGCAAACAAACCCATGGATCTGCTAATGCTTTTGAAATGGGTCAATAACGTCTGTTTTTTTTTTGGAAGCGGAGATTGTCTTGGTTAAGGTGTGTAATAATGGATCCTCTGGTTAAGGTCTAGTGTGGCAGAACCGCCTAATCCAATACATTTTCGAAAGTACTTATCTTTCATTGGACACCAAGTATCTAAGAGAGTACACTAAACTATGCGATTCTGTCGAGCCCACCTAACGGAAGAACTCGAAAATCCACATTTTTTCATCAGAATCGTAAATGAGAGTCAAAGCTTATAACTTTTTTAGCCATTTCTTACACCACTTTTGATACAACATCAGAGTAATTCATCAATTGATTATGACAGCGGAATATAACAATATCATCAGCGTTTCAGCGGGAATGATAATCATTTAATGACAAGTGAACATTAACATGATGAATATTTATATACATGAAATGATAACAGGTTATAAGACTTTCCTTTGTAAAACATTTTTTGTGAGAGTTATAAATCAACTCTATATCCGCAACGTAAAGGAAATCCTCACTGAGTCCACCAGGAGGTTTCCACACACAAGTGTCAGCTTCACCTGTTCCTGTCATCTGCAACAGGGTAGAACAAACCCTGAGTACTCAATTGTACCCCGCAAGACTTACCCGTCAGGATGAAAGAAAAAGACTCCAAGGTTATGCAAGGCTATTTGACTTAAGGGTTATTGCAACTGCAGGAAGCATTACTAAAGTGCATCCTTATATTCAAATTTTATTAGTAGTCATCATTAGTTCATCAACTAACCATTCTAGGTAAGCACCTATGCTACTTTTTAAGCCGGTGGTAAACAACCAGAACCATTTTTATCTACTTCCAAGTTCCAGTTCTTACTACGGTGCTAGACCATAACCAAGTCGTAGAGTCACGTAGAAACGGTGATTCACGAATCAATGTAGCCCAGTTGGTACCTCGAAAAACACACGCCTCACTTGTACCCCAGGCACAAGCAAGACCAACCCATTCCACTCCTATCAAGGGGTCCAGGTTCCCGTCCAAACTGGAACTGCAAGCCCCAACACCAGAGGCCCAACCTCGGTGCGGTGCTTAGACCTCCTACCCAATAATCCACTCTAACAGTCGGTCTAGAAAGAGCCGGAACCCATGACAAGAGAGTAACAAGTCTTCCCGCTTCCCATAAGCAAGTATATGCTCAGGATAATAAGTCTGTGACCTGACTAGTGTCCACAGCAACGGACGGTCCTCAATCGACACAGGCGGGACAAATGCAACCAGAGCCCCGCTCTGTTGCCCAACCAAGTCCAAGTCCATCCAAGCCTAGTCCCGCCCGGTCTTCATTTATTATTCATAATTATTCCATGTGATAGTAACATGATGTGGCCGCCCGATTTAACACGCTTTCGGAGGTACTTGTCTTCCACTAGACACTAAGTACCCCGAAAGGAAGCTAAATCGAGAAGTTCCGTCGAGCACACCCAATGGGAGAACTCGAACAATCCATATTTTACACCCAGGATCCAATGATGAGTACAAGCTTACGATACTTAGTCCATTTTATACAACATAAAGTCTCAAAAATCATTTATTACAATACCAGAGTTCAGAGTGCAATAAATTAAACAACGGAAATAAAATAAATATCTAGCGATACGATATGAGGATCCGCCTGTGCCCACCAGAAGAATCCTCCACACAAGGCCTAACCTCTCAAGGTGCACCTGCAACAAGGGTAAAATAAACCCTGAGTACACAATATACTCGCAAGACTTACCCGACTAGGGAATATATTTCTCGACTCTCAAGGAATATGATAGGCTTTATGGCTGGTGGGTTACTTGTTTGTGGAAAGCAACACTAAGAGTGTGTCCTTATATGATTAGCAGTCGTGTTTTATTCATTATCCAACATTCTATGTAAGCACTGTTTTATGTTCAAGCAAGGGTGGAGCAATCAGAGCTATTTTTCCATCTTTCATATGCTAGTTCTTACTACGGTGCCAGAGCGTAGTCAAGCCATACCGTCACGTAGAAACGGCGATTCGCGAATCAATGTGCCTAGCTGGGTACCCCGAAAAACACACACCCTGCTCGTAACCTAAAAATTGTACGAACATGATCAACCCACTACCCTCCTGTCACGAGGTCCAGGTCCCCGTCCAAACTAGGACTCCAAGCTCCCAACACCTGAGGCCCAGCCTCAGTGCGGTGCTTAGACCTCCAACCCCATAATCCACCTATAACAGTCGGTCCGGAAAGAGACGGAACCCATGACAAGAGAGGAACAAGTCTTCCTGCTCCCATAAGCAAGTATGTGCTCGGGATAATAAGTCTGTGACTTGACCAGGGTCCATGCAACGAACGGTCCTTAATTGATACGGACAGGGAAAAATAGTGCAACCAAGCTATGCCCCGTGGCCACGGGACACACCCTATTACACCCATCAATACCCATGCCATATCCCTACCCGGTCACCATTTCCCTTTCTCCCCTTTTTATTATGAGATCATGATAAATATAATCACCTGTTGTGAGTAACGACAGGTTACCCACGCTACCGATAAACCTAAGCAAAGCACTACTCGAACCTACACCAGTAGGACTCATTGGTATATATATATATATATATGCATGTGGGTAACATAAAATTCCTTCAATGTACATGCATCCCATTCATATAGATAAAAATTATCAAAAATACGGGTTATGCGCCGAGGCTTGCCTTGGGCAGGTGCAGCGTCAGTGGTGTCAGTCGTGGGCGGCTCCTAGAACTCCTCCAGCACGAAGATCTCCTCCTTGTACTCTTCGATCACCTCCTCGAACTCTTGTTCTCCCGCGGTCACGAACTCCACTAACTCGTTATATATATGCATGAAATGATAATGCAAAGCTTAAAATTATGACAACAGCAGCTCTAACAATATTAATACACCCACCAACTACTAAGCTAACTCTAATGGCTAAGATGCTAGGCTACCCATCACTTCTCCAAAACATGAATCATCCTAGTCAAGTATTACTTAGCGACTAAAGTGCATACCCTTCATTTATTCATGTTTTAACATATGTAGTAAAAACAGGGATAACTTAGCTACCCTGTTTCTCAACCTAATATAGGGCTACAAAAATTACAGAGAGCACATAATAATGTAATGAAGCCATTGTAAAAGTTTCATGGTCATAGCTATTACCAATTTGCCACAATAATTCCTACAATTATTACTATAATGATATTAAGTATTTTCAAACGATTTAATAGCCCTCAACATCATCACAGAAACATATTAACTAACTTCACTAACTGATAGGGCATGAATTTAGGAACCTAACAAAATTGGTTTCACAATTTTTGGACATCTACATAAATTGATATGATTTTCTAAAGTTCAGCTCAGAAACTAAAATAAAAACCATTTCTTAATTCGTGAGAAAAAGGAAAACCGAATTCTCCGGCACAGCCCACCAATGCGGCCCGCGCAGCGTGGCCCGCGTACGCGAGGTGGCCCACGTGGGGGAGCCCACGCGCGCTTGCGCGTTTAGCAGAAAAACCCTCGCGTTAGCCGAATATAACGCGACCCCAGAACACACTATTGCAATAGTCAGCGGTTAAGCAAACTGACCCTCGCCTTTTCTCACCTTCGCATCGGGGAGGTCCTCAGAGCTCCCTACGCGCTTCGGCGCCACACCGGCGACACTAGCCGGCCACGCCGACTACCTAGGGCTCCCACCGGCCCAACTAGTGGGTCGACCTCCATCTACGGTCCTAATGCCTATGCTAGGCGGGGGCATGGGAGAAGCAGAGTTCTCAAAAACAGTGGCCACGGCGAGCGGCCGCTCAAGACGGTGGCACGGCCATTCCGGCCACCCAAGACCACCACGCAGATATGTAGCTAGTGCATGAGCATCCTCAGCTTACCCTGGACTCGGCCAGAGCACTCGCAGAAGCCGGGGGGTGGCGGGGAAAGCTAGCCGCGTGCGACCCGAGGGATGCGGCGACGCTCTGCGGCGGCACGGCCGCGTTAGCAGCACCGGTGAGGCGGTAAGGTACGGGTGAAGTGCGCAGGGTGGCAAGGGGGTTGAGGCAAAACTGGTGGTGCAGGTGGATTGGCTCTAGCGGCTTCGAGGGGGCCGTTGCATTCCACCTACGCCCAACTCAACCTTATCGGACAGGCAGCGAGGAAACACCAAAATTGGCGCTTGGTCGTGCATCGATCAATGCGGAGTGGGGTTGGGGAGCTAGGGTATAGGCCTGTGAAAAGGCGTGCAGGGCGAATTGGGCCAAGGTGGTCCACCATGTCGCACCCAGACAATGCAGGCCTGGCGGCCATGGAAACAGAGGAGGAGGAGGAGGAGGGGGATCAGCGCTTGGGTCACCTCCTCCACGGAGCGGGGTCGACACGGTCGGGCGGTTCACGCGCTGGGCCAGGCCAAGACGTGCGCCCACACACCGATCGAAGTCGCATGGCATGAGCGGCGCAGCGACCGGCCGCAATGGAAAAGTGGGCGGACCCGACGCGATGCGACGCGTGACCCAGACGCGATCACAACACCGCGCACAACATGGAGGGGGGTAGCGAGACAACGGACAGGCTCATGCACGTGCAACAGCAAGAAGCAGTGGTGGGGCAGCAGCAGCCATGGTAGTGGGACATCGTGTAGGGTGGTAGCGGCAGCAGAGCACTGTGGCCCGTGGAGAGACGCGAGTTGACCCTAGCGGTAGGTGCGACACTGCCCACAACGTGGTGGGGGCAGCGGGGCAGCGGCAGGCTACGGCCGGCCACGGCCAAGCCAGGCGGACTGGGCTAGCCCAGCGGCAGCGCAGCTAGGCGCACGACACCGAGTGGCCCCGTGAGGTGACCGCGCGCACGAAGACATGCGTCCGAGCGATTGTTCATGCACGAATGTTAAAGCGCATCCCACGGCTAAACCAGCTCGAATACATCCCGACCACCAAGACCATACCAAAGAGGGTACCTAGGACTACCTCCCATGGCCAAGACGCGACGTTATCGATTCACAAAAATTTGCAAAATAAATCCACGAACATGGCCTCGTCAATCTATTTTTAAACGTAGAATACATTCTAAGTGTTGGGCTGATTTTCGTTGCACGTTCAATCTTCGAGCTACGAGAACTATACGCTAGCAATAACGCCTTGCTAAGACAAATGTTGCATTCTCATCTACAATTTTCGTGCTTCAAACTTTGTTCATGGTTCACATATAAGTTCTATAACGTTTTTGGTTAATAAAAATTCGTTTCCATCCTTAAGTGATATAATGTGAACCATGGAGTACTTTTCATTTATCATTTGCGTTAATCATTTTTGATGCCAAGAAGTTTATTTTTACACCTTCTTACATGTATTGACACATAAACATGATACTCAAGACATGATTTAGTCAATGTTTTACGCGGTAACACCGAGGGTGTTACAGCTCTACCCCCTAAAAAAAAAAATCTCGACCCAAGATTTCGTGAGCTTAGTGTGGAAAAAGGAGTAAGAAAATAATTTCAACTACAACAATTACCTTCAGGAGCTAGGAAGGAGATGAGGGTAGTGCTTCAAAATATAACTCTCAAGTTCCCATGCTGCTTCATCTTCCGAATGATGTTGCCATTGGACTTTGTAGAATTTCACCACATTGTTCCTAGCCACTCTTTCTTTTTCATCCAAGATTTTTACGGGATGCTCCACGTATGAAAGGTCCGGTTGGAGAGGAAGTCCTTCAATTTCTACTGCCTCATTTGGAACTCACAAACACTTTTTCAATTGGGAAAATGGAAAACATTGTGAATAGCTGACAATATGTCCGGAGCTGAATGCGATAAGCCACAGGACCACGCTGGGCCAAAACCTTGTAAGGTCCAACATAGCGAGGATCTAGCTTTCCACGAACACCAAAGCGATGCACACCTTTCATGGGGGACACCTTAAGATATACATAGTCACCAACTTCAAATTGCAAAGGTCTCCTTCTCTTGTCCGCATAGGTCTTCTGTCGGTTCTGAGCTGCCTTTAAGTGGCTCTGAATAATTCCAACTTTCTCTCTTGCTTCTAGGATAAAGTCAGGCCCAAAGTAACCACGATCTCCTACTTCAACCCAGTTGAGTGGTGTCCTGCATCTCTTGCCATATAGGGCCTCAAATGGGGCCATCCGAATGCTTTCTTGATAACTATTATTGTAAGAAAACTCGGCCAATTTCAAACATTCATCCCACTTTTCATGAAAAGAGATGACACAAGCTCTTAACATATCCTCAAGCACTTGGTTTACCCTTTTTGTCTAACCGTCAGTCCGAGGATGATAAGCTGAACTTCTGAGAAGGCTAGTACCAAGGCATTTCTAGAGTTGCGTCCAAAACGCGACATGAAAACTGACCCGCGATCAGAAACAATAGTAAGAGGAACTACATGAAGGGTTACAATGTGATCAAAATACAACTTATCATACTGTGTGGCTGTGTACCTTGTATCCACTGGCAAGAAATGAGCAGACTTTATGAGACGATCCATAATGACCTAAATAGAATCATATCCTTTGGCTATGCGGGGCAAACATGTAATAAAATCTATGAAATATCCTGCCATTTCGAAACCGAAATAGGCAAAGGTTGTAGAAAAACCGGTGTACGCAGATGGTCTGCCTTAACCCTTCCACAAAGGTCACATTCTACGATATACTTGGTGATGTCCAGCTTCATATTTGGCCACCAATACAACTGGCGTAAATTATGGTACATCTTGTTGCTTCCCGGATAAATGGACAGCTTGGATTGGTGAGCTTCATTCAAAATTTTTCTTCTAAGCTCATCACTCTTGGGGACCACTAACTGGTGCTTGTACTTCACCACACCTTGCTCATCAATGCTGAAATACGGACCACGCCCTTCGGCCATCCACTTTTTGATACGGGGAATCTCCAATTCATCCTACCTTTGCTCAGTAACAATTTGCTCAAGTAACTCCGAGACTAGTAATATGTGCTAAAACTGCAGAGTGAGAAAGGGGCAAAGGCTCTTCATCATACTTCGCCGACGTCGCGAGCTTCTTCCAGATCGACAGAAACCTCGGCGGCGTCGAGACCTTCACCCGGTGCTCACGAGCCTGCGGGGACCGGGGATCGGCATGAGAGGAGGATGCGGCGGGCGAGCAGCGGCGAGAGGCCGGTGGGCGTCGTCGGGCCAGCCGCGTGAGCATCCAATCCACGCCATGGCCGCTCCACAAAAAAGCACCACTGCCAAAGCGGGGCCCACGAATCCACGTAGGATCCGGACACGCGTCGCCTCCGATCCTGGACGTGGAATATATTCCATTATTTTTCTTGGCTTATGGCAATCGCTGCTTCCATCTAACCTCCACGTGGAGCGGACGTTACCCCGAGGTCTGGTTGGCTGGTTCGCCGGACGCGGGCCCTCCTTGTCAGCCGCGTGGCGTGGAGGTAAGCGAGAGCGGGTAAGCAACGGCGGGCGGTGACTAATGCATTAAGGTGTTGTACCTGACATCATATCAAGATCCACAGCTGACGTAGGCTGTAGGCCCCATCTCTTTCCGAATGATGCCTGCCGCCCCATCTGGCCATCTCCCTCCCGGCCATTACTCCGCCACGACTACGCCGCCAGCGCCCAGCCGCCCAGCTAAAAATCCCCCGGCTGTTCCTGAGCACCCGTTTGTCCGTACATGGCCGGAGCCAGCTGGACGTCGTCGTAGTAGCCGTGGCCCACGCCCCCGCTCGACGCCCGCTTCGTTCCTCCCACTCCTCCGGGATCGCCGATTCTCGAGCTGAGCTGAGCGATGGATCACGAGCGCAGCCCCAGGGGCAATGCTCGACGGAGCGGGAGCGGCGGCGCGTCGTCGTCGAAGCACAAGAGCGGCGGCGGAGGCGGCAAGAAGCCGATCAAGGTGCTTTACATCGACAACCCCATGCGCGTCAAGACCAGCGCCGCGGGTTTCCGCGCTCTTGTGCAGGAGCTCACCGGCCGCCACGCCGACCCCTCCAAGTACAGCCCCAACGACCTTGACTCCGGCGGCGTCGCCCAGGGGCTGAGCCCCAGGGGCGCGGACTCGTCGTCGGAAACCATCGTCGCAAGCCCCAGACCTGGCAATAAGGCCGCGCCGCACGGCGGCGACTGCGGCTACGATGGCGAGGACGACGACGAGGACGGTTTCAGGTCGCAGCTGCTGCTGGAGAACAACTATACGGTGTTCTCGCCGCCGACGCTGCTCTACGACCATCACCCGCACAGCAAGGTGTGATACCCCGGCCCATCGATCGATCTCCCGTGCCGCTCTGTACATACATGATTCTATCTTTGTCTTCCACTATTAACTGCTGGATACAAGTTGCAAGCAAATCTGTTTAGCACATTAGCACCACAAAAGGTCAGGCCCACAGCATCAACGAAAAGAAGACCCTTTTGTTTCTTAATTAGCTCACAATACCAATGTTTGGGTGATTCATTTTAGAAAAATAATAATCCTAGTCTAAGCCAATACGCGTACGATATAAAGCACTAGTAGTTAAATTCATCATTATTATGAAAAAATCTACACTTTTTACGTGATCTTGGCATTACCATCACTATCGGAAACGTTAAATTTGCCGAGTGTTTTTATGTTTGCCGAGTGTTTTTCCTCGGGCACTCGGTCAAAGAGCTATTTGCCGAGTGTTTCTCGAAAAACACTCGGCAAAATAATTACACTCGGCAAACAAATGGTTTGCCGAGTGTTTTATTTTTTACACTCGACAAACAAATGATTTACCGAGTGTTTTCTTTTTTACACTCGGCAACATTTTTTTCTGAAAAAGGAGAAAAAATAAAAAAAAAACTTTGTCGAGTGCCCCCGATCTGCGACACTCGGCAAACAAAAAAAAATCTACGTAACCGCACCTGGCCCCCAGCGCCCCCTCCCTTTCTTCCTCCGCACCTGGCCCCGGTCCCCAGCGCCCCCTCCCCATCTTTCCTCTCACCCGGCCCCTTCCCCTTCTTCCTCCCGGGCTTCCCCCCTCCTCCCTCCTCCTCTTCTCCTCTTCCTGGCCCGCCTCCCCCTCCTCCTTTCTTCCCCTCCTCCTTCTTCCCGACGCCCCGCCCTCGGCCTTCTTCCCCTGCCGCCCCTCCTCTCTCGGATCCGTGAGGTGGGGCCGGTGGTGGCCGGATCTGGGCTCTGGTGGTGGTGGCGGCGGCGGGCGGCTTCGCCCTCCCTAGCCTTCTTCTTCCCCCCCGCCTCCCCGCCTTCTTCCCGGGCCGCCCTCTCTCCCGGATCCGGCCTCCCTCTCCCGGATCCGGCCGGTGAAGGCCGGATCTAGCTCTCAGTGGTGGGGCGGCGCGGCGTGGCGGCTGGGCTTCGTGGTCTTTGGCGTGGTGGTGGTGGTGGTGGTTGTGCGTGGGTGTCTTTGGTGGCGGCGTGTTGGCGGATCTGGCGCTTTGGAGGATGGCGGCGGTGGGTGGCGGGCGGTGGTGGCAATTGTTTTTTTTTTTTACGGAAAATGTTTGCCGAGTGTTTTTGGGGCACTCGGCAACGTCTTCGCCGAGTGCCCGACAAAAAACACTCGGCAAACCCTTTGCCGAGTGTTTTTGGGGCTTCGCCGAGTGCCCCTCGCACTCGGCAAAGCTCCTGTATCCGGTAGTGCATATCCAGTTCTTGATGAGCTACAGTACACTCACGTAGTCACTTTAGTTTGTACATGCACACCTTTTAAGTTCAATTCTATCCATTTTGTCCTTTCATTACTATTTGCTACACATGAGCTGATTCTCGCTGCTCTTGTTCCCTGATGACTATACTCGTGTCATTGACGTTGCTTCATGCAATTACCTTTTGTTCATTTGATCCTTTCCATTGTTAATTTATGCTGCTCCCTCCGTTCCAAATTATAAGTCGTTTTTTGCCTTTTCTATATACGTAGCTTTTGCTAAGCATCTAGACATATGTACATACTAAAAATCATGTACTTAGAAAAGCCAAACGACTTACAATTTGAAATGGGAGAGTACTTTAATTTTATTTTTGCTGATTCAATTTGTTGATTCATATTAGGGTCGGTTTATCATTCCTCCCTTTTCTGTTTGGCGCTTTCATTTGTTTGACATTATTGGTTCACAGACCTAGTTTAGTGAGGGGCACATGTAAACCAACCTATTATTGTTATTATTATTTATATGAAGGCTATTGTATTTGGGAAATCAAGCAATAGATTGAAATCTTCATCATCCTTTCTCTTCTCCTATCTAGGTTGACATACGCCTACAACCATGCACGAATTCACACGTACAATTACGATCTATGTCATCCTCCTCCCCTATACTAACCATGGCCGACCTAGGGAGCTCCATCGGTATGGTCCGGCAATACCCTAGGCCCAGCCCAACAAATCAAGTAGCAGTTTTGTAAAGAGAAGAAAAAAAATCCTTTCCGTGTCATGTCGCATCCGTTGAGCTCTGTCTGCGAATCATGATGCTCACAGTGCAATCGACCTGTCCAAGTGCGGAGGCGCCATGGATTGACGAGGATAGTCACTAGCTAGCCAAAAAGATTCTTTGGGGTGAGCAGTGTATATTCCCCCTCTTGCCCTCAGTCCTCTTTCTCCCCAAATTCCAAATCGGTATCCTCCATATCTCTAATTTGGTGCTGTAGGCTTTTGTAGAGGGCATCATCACCTCTATTTCTCTTCTTCTCGTTATGACATTGACTTGCCTCTTGCCCAGTTGTGGAGCATAAAGGGCACGACAATAACTGAGCATTGTAGTCTACACTCAAGCACTCAGCCGCAACTCTTTGAACTCCCTAAGGCACAAACCCTAACCCATTTGTTATTCAAATATTCAATTTATCAATTTACGCTAAATTTAGTTTATAATTGATTAATGTAGCAAAAAAGTAGGCAGTAGGAATTAAGGATTTTTTGTTAAGTGGATGAATATGACATAATTTACCCTTAAGTAACCTCTGCACATGAATCAACATGCAACTAGGTATGAGTACAAGTTGGATGAATAACCCCAAGTTCTGCCCAAAGTAGAGCAAAACGTGAAGAATCCAAAGGTTTTGTGAAAATATCTGGCAACTAAGAATGTTCAATGTCTATACGATGAAGCACAACATTCCCTTTACCCCATGATCTTGAGGAAAGTGAAATCTTATATCAATATGCTTATTTTTAAATGTTGCACTAGGTACTTGGAAATACATATAGCACTAGGGTTATTATAGAAAAGTGGAACACTATTCAAATTTATCCCGTAACCATACTCTTTTAACTGTAGTATTATCCAAAGAATTTGATACCAACAACTAGCAACAATTACATATTCAGATTCAATAGTAGATTGTGCAATAGAAGATTGTTTTCTAAATGACCATGTAATAAGTGAACTACCCAAAAAGTGACATGAGCCAGAAGTACTTTTCTATCAATTCTAGAACCTCCAAAATCAGGATCAGAAGAAGACCTTAAGCTAATAGACACGGAGTAGAAATCCATATGCCAAAATTTTGAGTAACATGTAGATACCTGAACATCTTTTTTGGCAGCTTGCAGATGTGAAGCATGTAAGGAAGCTTGAAAACGAGCACATAGACAGAGAATATTGAATGTCTAGCAGTAAGATAAAGTGATCCAATCATGCTCCTATACTCATTTTGAGAAATGGGCTCACCATCTTCATCAAGATCAAGTATCGAAGCAGCTCCCATAGGTGTCATAATAGGCATGCAGTTTTCCATCCCAAAATGATGTAAAAAATCACTTGTATAATTACTTTGATGCACAAAAGTAGTCTAAAAAAGTAAGACAACTCTGCCATCATACTCATGTCAAATTCTTTACTGATCATTTCTTAAAACTTAGTCACCAAAGCATGAGATGCACACCCAAAAATGATATCATCAACATAAATCTGAACTAATAATGGATTATTGCCTTGTTTAAGTATAAAGAGAGTTTTATCAATATTTCCCATTGAAAACCCCTTTTCTATTAAAAATATTTTCAATCTACTATATCATGCTCTAGGAGCTTGTTTCAAACCATACAAAGTTTTGACAATTTTCAAACATGATTAGAAAACTATGGATTTTCAAAAACAGGTGGTTGCTTAAATTAAACCTCCTCATCTATGTAGCATCTATTTGATACAATCTAAAACCTTTAGGTGCTGCAAAGGCTAACTAATTCTAATGGCTTCCAATCTAGCAATAGGAGCAACAGTTTCATCAAAATAATGTTCTATTTGTGTAAGACCTTGAGCATCCAACCTAGCTTTCTTTCTAACGACAACACCAATACTCACTTTGTTTTTAAACACGAATTTATTTCCAATTATAGAGTGATCAAATGGAGATGAAAAACAAGCTCCCAAACTTTTATAATATTCAAAATTCTCTATTTTTTCATGCATGGCATTGATCCAAGATTTGTTGGTTAATGCATGGGATACATCTTTGGGCTCAAAAGAAGGAACAGAAGCAGAATGAGCATCAGAATCAATGAACCTAGACCTTGTTACTCTTTAATTTAAATCTCCAAACATTTGTTTAGGTGGATGTTTCCTATGAATGTGTTGAGGAGCATAAATTTTTGAAGCACCTTCTTGTTCATTTTCAATATGTGTAGATGAAGTAGTAGCTTGAGGATGCCCAACTATACCGTAGTAGTAGATGTAGTAGAAATTATAGGTGGAGAAATAGTAGGGATCATAACCTCATCTTCATCAACAAATATGCTCTCCCCCTGGATATTTTTCTTTCAAACCACGTGGGAGAGCTGTGTGTCATTTCATTAAGAAGAAGAAAAAGCAGGCTACAAGGAAAGGTCAGGAGACCATAACCAAAAAAACCCAACAACAGCTAATGGGATACACAGGACCCAGCCCACAACACACACACCCCCCCTAAATAAGAACAAGGTACTTCCCATGACTCAGCACGGAAAACCTGAGGAGACCAACTTGGGGAGGCTTCGGGCAACCAGCCGAACACCATAGTCAACACTCTTCTTTCACATTTTGGAGAACCATCTGGATATTTGGGGAGCCGCCCTCAAAAACACAGAAATTTCTTTGATTCGAAAGTTCCTAGGCCACTAGAATTATCAGGCTATTTAGGCCCTTCTTAGGATCTTTAGGCAAGCCTTTTATGGACTTACACCGCCAGCTAGAGAAATGAGTATCAAGTGGTTGAGGAGACAAGGAAACCAACCAGTATCCTGTGTCTTCTGAAGAATGACTACCCAAACTTTCCTAGAGAAGACACAGGAC